ATCTTTTTAAGTGGGAGAACTTGCACTATTGGTGGCTGACTAAATACTTTTTTGCCCCACTGTATATAGCACTCTTTTGAGTCAGAGGACCACAAAGTGTTCGACAATACATTCACCCATTCACATGAAAAGGGATTCTGAGTCTCCTATGATTCTTCTGTGCACGGCTTTGGATGATTAAGGGGTTCGCATTTATAGCAGACTTGGACTTAGACAGACTTAGACAGGTTTTTTTTTCATTTTGTACACACAAGTGAAGTGTATACAAAAAGAAATTTTGTTTAGTACAGATCTCTAAACTTTTTAATTTTTTAAGTACAGCCTTGATAAAGGTAAGCAGCATTGACAAAAACACAGAGATGAAAAGAAAATTGGTGCAGGGTTTCCCTGCATGAGATAGAGGATGTATGCAGCAATTCTGTTGGTTGGGGGTGCTTAAAATTTAAGGTAACAATTTTGATATTTCTTTACAACCCCAAAGATTACCACACCAAGAACACCATCCCAAAATAGCGACAGCATCATGCTGAACATGTTTGTAATATTACCATGATTAACTTTAAAATAGGGAAAGATGTTGTGAGATCTGATAAGCTTCTGTTTTGCCAGAGTTACGGTAGTTCATTACATGACCACTGAGGGAGCTCTAGAAAACAAGACATGAGCTCTCTGTTCTTGAGCCAATCTGATGTTCATATGAAGTTGGGAGATGTGTAGAGATTGACTCTGCAGAAAGTTGGCGACTTCTTCGCAATGAAGCATCCACTCAAGTCTTGAGTTAAAAAACCCCCAGAAATCTAAGATTCTGATAGGAAATGTGAGGTTTTAGTTTAAAACATTTTTATTATGCCTATGACTGAATGGTACTACTCATTCTGCATTCTTAAAGTTGTGGGTTCCATCCCAGCTTCATCACTTCTCACATGTTCATGTACCTCTGATCCTGGCACTACTCACCACACATTGTTGGCTAAATACAGCATGCAAAGCAGCCGAAGTGGTAACGCTTTTGATGGTCCATATGGCTTATTCCTGGCAGCTGCTTTGCGGGGCCTAGTCCCGCGGGGCCTAGTCCCCCGGCGCCCAGTCGGGGCTTCTGCCGGGGTGGCAGGGCAGACCTGTCCCCGCGGCTCCTGGCAGCTCCGGTATTGCAATGGCTGGGGGATTTCCTCAGGGCCGTCTCTCCTCCTCCCCTTGTTGGGGGGTCGGATTTCCTGGGTTGGCCCCTCCAGGCCGCCTTTACTCTTGGAATCCTATTGGACGTCTGGGGCTTTGGGTCCTCCGGCGCTGGCCTCGGTGCTCTGGGGGGGGTGCGTCTTTGACTCTTCACAACCACTATTGAGCATTTTCCCTTTGGATACACCTTGCACGCACAAGTGCACTCTCATAAACATCTACAGGTGTTTAGCTCCAGGTACTTAGAGACTCACTTCCATACAGAAAGCCCATATTCTTATCTTCAGCTACCACAGTATACATGTCAGATTAAGTAAT